TCTCTTGAACAAATCACCATTAGGGCGCCTAGATAGGTTCATCAAGAGCAGGGAGGAACAAGGGAAAACAGAGGGTTTCCCCCGTGGACCGACCTGTGACGAGATCCTATTCGCGGGCCCATAACACAACGTTATGGAAGTCAAGGCCAACAGAGTTCAATAGCCAAGGGACAACCTGAGACTACGCAATCAATGCCATCGGACTGTCAGGAGCTGAATCAATGCCCTCACCCAGGTACTATTGTTCCTGTTGAAACTCCTAAACCCATTGACATTGACACTTCAAATTGTGATCTAGACCTTCCTATTGCAAAAAGGAAGGGGGTTAGATCATGCACCACACACCATCCCATGGCTCAATTCTTATCCTATGAAAATGGCTCACCTTCATTTCGTGCTTTTCTATCTAAAATTGATAATGTCCCAGTTCCTAAAAGTGTTACGGATGCTCTCCTTTCTCCTGAGTGGACAAAGGCTATGAAGGAAGAAATCAATGCCCTACACAAAAACGGCAAATGGGAGCTTGTGGATCTTCTCGAGGGAAAGAACCTGTAGGGTGCAAATGGATGTTCTCTATGAAACACAAGGTAGATGACACAGTTGAGAGATACAAGGCTAGATTGGTTGCAAAGGGTTTTACACAAGTGTATGGTGTTGACTATGCTGAGACTTTTGTCCCTGTGGCAAAAATGAATTCTATCCGGGTTCTTATCTCTTTGGTGGCAAACCTTGATTGGGAGCTTCATCAACTAGACATTAAAAATGCCTTCTTGAATGGGGATTTGGAAGAGGAAGTATACATGACTCAACCTCCTGGTTTTTGTGCTAAAGGTAAAGAGTAGAAAGTGTGCAAATTAAAGAAGTCCTTATACGGCCTAAAACAATCACCAAGGGCTTGGTTTAGCAGATTTCATCAAGCAATTCAACAAATGGGGTTCAGGTAATGCTAATCTGATCACACACTCTCTGTGAAGAAGGAACAAGGGAAAACAGCAGCTCTGATTGTTTATGTGGGTGATATTTTCATTATCGGTGACTTGGCCTCAGAGATACAAAGGTTAAAAAGATCTTAGCTACACAGTTTGAGGTGAAGGATCTAGGTCCATTGCGTTACTTCCTTGGAATTGAAGTGGCCCGCTCCCAACAGGGCATCTTCGTCTCTCAAAGGAAGTACACCCTAGATCTCTTGAAAGATGCAAGAAAGCTTGGGGGTCAAACCTGCCGAAACTCCTATAGATGTGAATCATAAACTTGGGGACTGTGGTGGTGAAGTTTTGGAGGATTCAAAGCAGTACCAAAGACTTATGGGGAGACTACTCTATTTATCCATGACTAGGCCTGACATAGCATATGTTGTGGGGATTCTCAGCCAGTTTATGCATGCTCCTAAGGTAGCACATATGGAAGCGGCAGACAAGGTACTGAGATATCTGAAGAAATTCCCAGGGACAGGCCTATTGTTCAGGAAACATGGGCATATGAGAGTTGAGATTTACACTGATGCTAACTGGGCCGACTCGGTAGATGACAAGAAATCCACGTAGTTACTGTACTTTTGTAGGGGGAAACCTTGTTACTTGGAGGAGTAAGAAACAAAGTGTGGTTGCTCGATCCAATGCAAAGGCGGAATATAGGGCCATGTCATATGGAGTTGCAGAGCTACTGTGGATCAAGAACCTTTTAAGTGAATTGGGTTTCCAAGCTAAAAACCCTATATCACTCTATTGTGACAACAAAGCAGCTATCAACATTGCTGCAAATCTAGTTCTGTATGATAGAACCAAACAT